AAGTGTGGCTACTGTCTTTATTCTCAAGGAAATTTTTTGACAACACTAATCTTTCACTATTGTTACCTAGTATTGACTTTATTTTGAAACCCATCACTAGAACTATAAGCTGATGGGTGGTAATTAATTTTACTGTCAGAGTAGCTTCAGAGAATGTGTTTTAGTTTAGAATAAGCTGAAACTGAAAAGTGTAGAAAAAGTTTGAATATAAAGTAATAATTTGTTAAAGAGGATATTGAATGTATAGTGGAGTTGAAGTTTTTTAAAAATGTTAATACCTAACCTTAAACAATAAGCCTATGTTGTTAAATGTGTGAGTGAGAAACTTTTTTGTATTTATTATCAGCTCATGTTGCAGAAATAAATAAAATCCTTGATCTTTATGTTTTATTCTATTAAATTTTTTAATCACTAGTATAATACATGCAAACTAATCTAACTTATTGTTAACTGCATTGAAATTGGCAACTATATTTCTTTGGATACAATGGAACATAACTTTTTGAATACTTTTAAAAAATAATAATTGTATACCAGTTTCTTAGATGTATCTAGTTTAACTATCAACAAGTAAATAACACTGAATTTGGTAATGATAACTATATCAATCTTTTAAAAGGTAAACTATATGTTTTTTTTCTATAAAGTCATGGAACAGAGAAAATTTTTGAAGCTCATATCTTGAGAGAAGTTATCACTTCTGAATATGATTTTTGAAAAAAGAAAGTCAACTGACCAGAGAAGCAATGTTATAAAGAGCAAAGTTTATAAAAAAAAGAGATCTAGAAAGAAAACCTTCAAGAAAAAAGAAAATCCAACTTTGGCAGGAAAAAAGAAAAGTGAAAAGAAAAGTAAGTATATAAAAAAGTATATAGAAGAGATGGGAAACAATAGAAAAGAAAAATAAAGAAATATAGAAGAGGAAAGGAAAGAAGAAAGTGAATAAAAGCAAACAACTCAAAAATTTCTTAAAAAGAAAAATTTCAAATATAGAAAAAAAAATAGAAAGTTTTTTTTTAGTAATGATTGTCACTTCTTAATTTTAGCATATGATTTTTGGTCATTATACAAGATAATACAATTAACTTTTAATATTCTCTTAATTAAATTTGTTGCTAAGATTTTTATAAATAAAATAATATATTATATATTAAAAAATATTGTTTGGTTATAAAATAAAAATACTTTTTAAAATGATATTTATTTTTGTTTAATTTGTTAGATTAATTCTTGAATTTTATAAATTTTTGACATAAAAAAATTAACAGTTGTATTCAAATGAGAAACCCTTATATTCAAGAAATAATCAATTTTCAATATAATAAAAAACCATTTTTTATAATATATAAATCAGTTTTATAATATTCTTATCTTATTTTATTATATATATTATTAATTAATAATATATTTTTTGTAACAAAAAACTTATAAAATAATTATTAAAATAATATTATTTATAGAAATATTAAGTAATACTGTAATATTTAATTTAGATTAAAAAAGATATGAACCATAATTATTAACATATACGTAGTTGAAATTACAAAAATAATTTGTTTTTGACTTTAAAAATATTATTTCTTTTTAATTATGTTATAATAGTTTTATATATATCTTGATATTTTATATCAATTATATTATTTGACTCAAATTTATTTTGATATTTAATAATTAATATATTATAATAATATATTTTTAACAATTTTCTTGAGTAATAATATCTTTATATTTCAAACTATTTTAATATCTGATTTTTAATATCTATAGATTTATATATTATTGATTCAACAAATATATTATATATTTTACAAATCTTTATAAACTCCATCTTTGCATTTTAATATTATAACTATTCTAATAAATCTTTACTTTAACTCAATTTATCTTATATACTCTAATTAACTATTCTAATTTAATTCTATTTTCTATTCACAAAAATATTAAAAAAATTAATTATTTCTATAAAACTTTTAGTATCTTAAATTCAAAATGAATCCAGCTAATCTTTTAATCTAATTTTTAAAACCTTTTCTATGCACTTAATTTTTTTTAAATTAATATTTATACCTATAAATATTTCTAAGTCTTTTTTATATACAACTTCTATCTAGAAATAATTTCTTATAATCAAATTTTACCTATATATTATTAAATTTTATTTTTAATTAAATAATTTTTATCCCAGATGCAGCTTATTTAATAAAACAATTAATAATTTTTTGAATCTGTCCATTAATTATAACATCTCTCATATATTGATATAATGAGTTAAATGTTAGCTTGTCTACAGATTATAAAACTATTATAAACTGCTTTTTTAATTTTTTTATATTTGAAGATCCATATATATATATGTTTGGGTTTATCTATTTTTAGAAAATTAATTATTATTGTATATTTATTACATACTAATTTTAAAAAATATATATAATTTTTTTTATTTTATTCTTTACTACAAACTGTTAAGAAATTTTTATAAAAATTAAATACAAAAATAATATAGATTATTTTTTAATTCTTTAATTAAACTGGCAAGGATTTTTATTTTAAAATATTTATTGTTCTATTTTATTGTTCTATTGAATAGAAAAATAGTTTTAATTTTTTATTTTATTTTTATTTTTCTATGATAAATTAATTTGTTCTATATTATTATAATTTTCTATTTTCATTTTTTTATTTATATTTTTTATTTTAAAACTTTGAATCTTGGAATAATTGATATAAGATTGTTTATATTAACTTGTTTATTTGAGTTTTTTGCTTGTTCTTGTTTAATTGTTTTTGAAATCAAGTTTTCCAGATCTTGATATATTTAACCAAGAGTTTATTCTTATATATCTTAAATTTTTTTAACTAAACTCTTAAAGTTAACTTATATATAACAAAACTTGAGATATAATAATAAAATATATTGTGGCATTTTAGTAAAAACAATTGTTTATTTTAAAGAAAAAGAACTGGTCTTTTATTTAATTAGCTTAAATTTGATCTTTTACATATAACACATAGGGCTACTTAACTTAAACCTCTTGGATTATAGCAAAAAGATAATAACTAATAATCTTTTCTAGAAAAGAATTTTTATTTTCAATAATAATAAAGAAAGAAAAAAAGTTTCTTTGAAAAAAAAAAAACTTGACAAGCTTTTTTTTTCTTATTTTGTTAAATTTTCTAAAAAGAAAGTTTTTAAAAAAATCGAAAGAAATAGACAATAATTTTAATTAATAAAATATACATATTAAAAAATTTTATATCAAGCAATAATAATAAAACTGGTTTCAATTAAAAATTTTTTAATTAAATTATATAATTAATATTGCTAAGAGATAAAAATCTAGTAAGCTTATTTAATTCAGTATTTTCTATAAGAAAAAGTGTAATCAAAATTATAAAAAAAGAGAAAATAATAGAATTTATTAAAAAAAATATAGATAATAAAAATTTTTTTATTAATATAAGTTTAATTGGAGAAAAATCAATATTTACTTAATATAATGTAATATTGTTTTCAAAAAAAGGCAAATTTGTTAATATAAATATTAAAAAATATAATTTAAATTTAAATATTATCTGTAATTATTATGAATAATTATATATTAGTAAATGTAATTATAATATTATAAAATATCATTCATTTATATAAAATATATATGTTATATTTAATTAATTAATAATTCCAAAAAATTATAAGTTTTTTAAGGTTTAAAAACTATTTACCTTTGAAATATTTAAGATTTTTTTATCTTTTTATAATTTTACTAAAATAATTTTGATTTTTTAAAAAGACTGCTTAATTTATTTAAAGGAATATTTAAAAATATACAGCAATATTTAAATAAGAATTTGACATTATTATTATATATATATATATATATTAGCAATATATATTTCAATAACTTGTTTACTTATTAGATTAATATTTTATATTATTAAATAACTGCACAATTAATAAAACATACAATTAGAACAAAGATATTTTGAAATATACTCAATAACTTGATATCAAATCCAATTAGCAAACTTAATTAAAAAAACAAAACTAACATGCTTTCTAACCTCATTGATCTTGGGATTAGTTATCAGTAAAGTATAAGTTTAGTGAAATAATTAGTTAATAAAGACTTAGTCAAGCTGAAAATTTAAACTTGAAGTTAAGACTTCAAAACTTAACTGTAATTACCAGATGACGCACTATGATTGTTCTGAATTGGCAACAAGCTCGATAAAGACAGTATACTCTCCAGAACATATGAATTTTCAATAATATTCTCTTGGTTTTTTCTAATAGTAAATATATTACGTTTTAAAATCAATGTATATATACGTAATATTTTATATAATCGTTATACATTAAAAAATTCTTTATAGTGTTAAGCAGTTTTATTGAAGAATTTATTAATGCAGTACAACGTTTTACTTATAATTGTTTCCTTACAATCTGAAAAATTTCTAATCTATCTATAAAAAGTTGATCTTTGGTGTTTCTAATGGGAATTTTGTAATCTTTTTGTTTGCAACAAAAAAAAACTTGATTAAAAATTTCCTTTATATAAAAATCACTGGTGCCAAAACTAAAATATTTAACCAAAACCTGATTAGAACATATAATTATAGCCTCGTTTTCATTTTTAACTCTACTAATAACTGATTTATTTATATTTCTTCCATTTTCTAATGAGAAAATAAAACTATTCTTTGCCTTTATTTTTGTTTCCTCTAATCCTGACTCGATATAACCAACAGGATTGTATCCACCAAGAATCTCGCCCGTTTTATTATTTTTCCCTATTATTATTAAGTCTACTTTTTTAACACATAAGTCCCAAAAGGAATCGAAAAAATTATGGCCGTCAGATGCTAGAATTAAATTGAATTCATAGGAATATTCTAGAATACCAAAGGATGTCTCTCCATTAATCCATGATATTATTTTTGCCGCTTGTTCAGTAGTTATTATTTTCGAAGATATTCTCACTTGCCGTAAAGGAGTTACATCCCTAGAAGGTAATTGAATACTTGAAAGTTTTCGAGCCGGCAAGATTGTAGAAGAAATTGGAAGATTTGGTGCCATATATTTGCTCATAATATCGTTCCAAAGTTGAGTTTCTAGAATTTGTTGATAAGGACGAATTTTAGAAAATACATACTCTCCAGGTATATGAAAGAATCGCACATATGGTAAGCAGTTTTGAAGAGTCTTTTTTAAAGCAAGAAAATCGGAGTCTTTCCATTGTTCAATAGTTGAAGGCAAAGTATGATTCTGTGCAACACCCCATCTAATAACAATATCCCAAACTTTAGTCTCTTCAAGTTGTAGGTCATCTCGTTTAATAAAGGATATTAAAGTCTTTTCATTTAGCTTAAGGAAATCTTCTGAATCAAATATAATTCCAGGATGCTTTATAATAATATCGTTATAAAATTTTTGAAGCATAGTGAAGTCATTATTCTTATGACTTATTTGATAGACCTGAGAAAAATTCAATCGTAACCAAGAGGCTTGATGCTCGATTAGATATGACTCTACATATTTGGACAATTCCTTAAGCCCCAATTCACTTGCACAAGTCAATAGGTCAAATATAAGTGAAGTTGAGACGCTCTTCAAATCAATTATTCCACCATAAATATATCTATTTATTTAATAATTATTAGCATTAAAATGTTACTGTTAAACACATTACTTAAACCACGTACCTAATAACGATGTCAAAAACCTTTACTAAAACTTTAGGCTTTTTAATAACTTTAATATTTCTATCGTTGTAGTCGATATCTTTGAGTTTGTTATAGAGATAAGGGCAACGATAACACAAGATAATTGAATGTGCTCTGAATAATTTTTTAAAGGAGCCCTCCCCTATTTCGATGATTACATTGTACTCATCGTTATTTTCTAAAAGCTTTAGGAAGTCTAGAGATAAATTTCCAAGAAAGGTTGAAGTCATCTTTCTTTACAGTATCAGTATACGTTGTACGTTCACACTGTATTTAAAATGAATAGCGTGTGCAATATTACGTAATACAGTACGTAATTTACTGTATAAATTTGATTGGTTAAAAAAATATTTTTTTTAAGATTATTTGAGTTGAAAATAATATCATTTTTGAATTTAAAGAACTTTATCATGAAAATTATTCTTAAACATTTATTATTTAAATTTTCAAATATATATTTTTGTGTTAAAAACATTTGAATATAAATCTATTAAAAAATTTAAATAACTTTACAATTACAAATAAATTTTGATTTAAATTAATAAATTAACTTTGTTTAATATACAATACAAATTTATAAACCAAGAAATTCTAAAAATACCAAGTTTTATAAAATGATGAAATTATAAAATTTTGATACAAAAATATAATAAAATAATCTTGTTTAATAAAAATTAATAATTTTTTAATTGATTAAATAATAACGAGATTATTTATCCAATATCTCAACATCATGCAATATTAATAACATGTTATATAGGCTTTCAAGTAATACTAATCATATGAGCAATCGATAAAATATTGTTTTATTTATTTGTTATTGTCATGATATTTTTTTTTTTTTAAAAAAATAATTTATAATCAAATATTAAAATTTGTTTAAATAATAGTTTCAATTTTTTTCAATTATTTTTTTATAAATAATTTGTATTCATATTTAAACCAATCATAGCTATTAATGTATGTCTATAAGCAATAAATAATAAATAATTAAATTAGCTCTGATAAATATTTATATACTTTTTTTAAAAAAAAAATCAAACCATCTTTATTAACTATATTCTACGACGTTTTACACTGATACCCCATTTTCTGGTCTATTCGATGATACATAAAAACAGAAATTATTTTGCGTTCGAAGCGTATAGAACTTACTATATGTGTTTGTTATCGTCAAGATGCCTTGTGGCTTTCCTGTAATAAATTAGTTTTCAAAAATTACTTTACACACAAGCCTGGCCACCCGATACTGTAACCTAAAGATACAGTATGTTGGTGATGAAATTAAATAAATAAATTTTTATAATTAACATATGTTAAAGTACAATTTTTAACAAAAGATACAAAAAATAAATACAACGTTGTATAATAATCTTAAATATGAATTTTTAAGGAATTGTGAATAATAACTTAACAGGAATATCTTCCGATATAAAAGAATTTTCTAAAAAAAACTAAATATCTGCCTTTATTTTCCTTGATTGATCAATTTGATCATTTCATTAAATTTTTCGTCAATCTTCAAATTAATACAATTTAATGATTTTTTTATTTTTAATAATACGAGATAATTGTACTATAATATTTTTTATACTTTGTTTCCACTTTATTTACATATCATATAAACCTAATAACAAATACTTACTAATATCTGTAAAATTTTTTGTGTTAGAAACTGGGAGAATTAATCTTTGAAGTAGAAATACAATGCATAACAATTACTGTATATACAGTAAGGTCTGCAGAAACAATTTTTTTTTCTTCTTAGATGATAAACATCCAAAAAAGTTAAATATTTTTCATATGGTTTCTTGAAAAAGTCCCCACCATTATGGATTATAATTATATCTACACTTAATTAAATTTTTAATTTTTTCCGTTCCGTAATAGGGATAATTTTAATTATTATTGTTTTAGCATTTCCATTTTTTATACTTCATATTAAGACTGACCAAGAAATGATGTTATCAGAAAACCGATACCCAAACAAAGTCCAACGGAGAAACAAGAAATCCCTTGGATAGAATAAATCCCTGCGGAGGCAACAAAAGATCAAAGATCAAAATGAAATTGCCCAATCTTTCTGAGTCACCTAGTGACATCCCAGCCTCAATTAAAATCAAACTATCCAAAGCCATTCCCATCATCTCACCAAAATTCACCAGAGAAGTGACAGAGTGTCTTAGAACATATTATAACTTCAATTTACTCCCAATCTCTTTCTTCACCAGTAATGGAATTGACCAAGGTGAAACCCTAGCTCCACTTCTCTGGACTATCTTTTACGACCCAATTGAAAAAAAATATTGATGAATAATACATTATATGAAATATAAGTAATAATGAAAAATTTTCAAGTACCATCTGACATTGATCAAATTTCAAGAAAAATAAATTGTGAAGAAGACTTTTCAAACTTTACTGCGTCTCTTATTTCAATTCCGGATTAAAACGCAGACCAATTTTCAGTATTTAAACATTACTCTTTAGAAATTAATATCAACTGGTATTGCATGGAAAATATAAAATCAATTCTAATTTTTTATACATTATTAGGAAATATAATATAGTTATTATCAGGAAAAGTATTGCAGCAGGGTTCGCAAATTTATTTTAAGTTAGAACTTTTAACATAAGAATTATAGAATTATACTGTCTATTGAATATTATAATGCAGAAAACCAATCCAGTTCCAAGGACTTTTAATATAATCTAAATTGTGGATAAGTTGTCAAATTTCAAAATATACAAAAATCTAAGAATTGTTATTTCCAAAAGAGCTTTCATGAAATTGTTATAATTGTGACAAAAGGTGATAGAATATTAAATAAATTGCTCACATTAAATAATCATACATTCTTTCATATGTGAAATTAACAAGAGCTTTAACTTTTGGTTATTTGAAAACTTTAAAGATTTTAATGAATTCGAGTGAGTAGATCAACTTTCACGAATAAAATAGCTTTCTTTAAGGTATGTAGAAAATTTAATAAATTTATTATTAACTTAACGTTTCTTTAGAGTTTAAAATTTAGTTTTATTTCCGTTGAGTGATTCTAATTCTAAAGGAATATAGATGATTATACCTGATAATTTAATAAACTTGGAAATAACATGGACTTTCAGAAACTGGAGTAATTATGTTTGCTAATGAATTCAATAAATCATATCCTTTTTCCTTGAATTTTTAAAGTGTGATCTTTCAAATAATTTCAGAGACAAATACTTTTCATATATTCATCTGACGGAATTTTGATAAACTACTCTTTTTGAATATTAAATATGAGGGACCAACATGAGGTATGATCCAACGTAAGGTAATCATGTGACCTAATTAAAAAGCAATATTGTATAGATATCGATGCATATTATATGATAATTAAATTTATTGATATCGATACA